GGCCACCCGTCCCTGTATTACGATACCACCCGAGCTGCACCCTGTTCAGCCTGCTGCCGTCCAAAGACCAGCCTTAAAGGCTTTCAGGGCGGCACGTGCACCCACAGCCAAAGACAATGGACAGAGGTCCTTTCATGCAAAATGTTTATTTGGAATACGTGTGCTACTGTGCAGGCCAGCCATCCTGAAAGAGCAAGTCTTTACATTGTGCGGATACAGGAGCTCCTGGGAGACATTCATCTGTGCTCTGCTGGCGTTACTCTTCACCCACCTCCACCCCTCATCACCTTAAGGCCTCTGGTGCTGCCTGAACTGGGGGCGATGACCAGCAACCGGCGATTGGCCATTACCAGTTGTGCCTTCTCCTAGAACCCTCTCTACCTGCCTTACGTTATTAATGGTGCCCAAAGAAATGATGAGCAGATACAAAGTTTCTGTGGGGTTACAGAGCCTTGTTTTCACCAAGTTTCAGGAGTTTTCTTTCTTTCTTTTCTTTTTTTTTTTTTTTTTTTTTTTTTTTTTTTTTTTTTTTTTTTTTTGAGATGCTTCTGCTTAGCATTCCTGACAGGCCTGAGTGTGAGGGCTCAAATTTCAGCTGACCCAAGTGGGGAGTAATTCATTGATTTTTATAATCCGTAGGTTACTGCTTTTCTCCCTGGCTCCGACATATGGTTTTCATTTCTAATTTCTGCCATATGCTTCTCGACTTGAACTTGCTCTTGTCTCTCTCTTGCTCCGTGACAGTGAGTGTCACGCATGTTGGCCCTGCTACAGGGTGGAGTGAAGGGTAGTAGGAGAGAGCTGTCTTGCTCCTTCGGCTTAGCCACAGGCCCCAGCAGACCTGACTTCTGTATGGAAAAGGGGACAGGTGATCTTATGAGGAGTGTTTCCTCCTCACTCCCAGTCAAGGCAATGCCACGAATGGTTAGACAATCTGGACTTGCCTTCGGGTTCAAGTTTCAGTCACTGAGCAGAGGCCACAGAACCAGGACCTCCCTCTCTTCTATAACAAACACAACTGCGATAGGGGCTCTCGGAAGTCAAAGCCAGGAATCTGCAGGCACTCTGCCCGCCTCTCTGCACTGCTGATGAACCCAAGGACTGTTTCAATGGGCAGATTGCTAGACTGTATCGACCTTTCTAAGAGGTCTCAATCCGAATTGTAGTCTTAACCCTCTTTTTTTTTTTTTTTTTGAAACAAAGCGTGCAGGCTAGGGGGTGGGGTGTTCTTTCTTTAATGTTATTCTTTATCATCCCCCTCCTTCTTCACTTGGTGGGTCCCAAAGTGGGCCAACCCCCACTCCTGGAAAAGGGCCTCCCACCACGCAGACTCTTAAAGGTCACTTGGAATCTGTCTCTTAAATCCTGTCCTGAGTAGCAACTCTCCTCCTACAAACAGATGTACAGAATCTGCTGTTAAAAACAAAAGCAAAAGAAAACGCAGAACTCCCCCAGGCCTACGAGCCCTGCCTGAGACGCACTCCCACCCTTCATTCCGTCCCCTAAGCACAGATGGATCTGGCAGAAAATGGTCCAGACACAAAAGTCACTGCTCACAAGAACTTGGGAAGCTGGGAGTGTTTCTCTAAAGCTCAGATATTTAGACGGTGGGAGTTCTGCTGTGCTGGTCACTTTCCAAGAGCTGCTAACCTGACACTTCATTGTGTACTGCTTAATCATTTTAAACAAAACAAAACAAAGCGAAATAGCCAAAACACACAAACACAATCTCTGGGGCGGGGAGGGGGGGCAGGAGAGGGGGTCATGGATGAAATGGTGGCTGAATCAGACTTTCCATCAGTCGTTTCTGCTCAGAGCTGGGAAGCAGTTGTGTCCACAGCGGATCGGCTTCGCCCTTCCTCCTCGGGAGCTCGAGGCCGAGCTGCCATCACAGGAAGTCATTCTGTGGCTGCAGGAGGCGGTCAGGGTCTGGTTCCGGAGCCATCCACGTTATTACACATTTGAGCTCCACGTTAACAACACTTCACCAACAGTGTGACAGAACAGAAAAAGTTCTACTTCAAATTTGCACGTGGATCCAAACCTTAACCTACGACTTCAGTGAGGAAACCAGCATCTCGGAGACTAGATGTGTTTTAAGGGACTTCTAAAGAATTCCATGTTCCAAGTGGCATGGAAAAGAATTCTGAAGACACACTCAGGAGCTGTGCCCCATTAGTGGGAGGTTTTCTGCGGTCTGCAGAAACGTAAGGTTGAATGGGATAATGAAGATACTTGGTTTTCGATAATTTAGAAATTGTCTTAAAAAAAAAGGGAACTCGAGCTGTATTACCAACATTCTTTCCCTTGCTCTGCACATCAAAAAAGACAAATACATTTCATATGCAATGCCGCATGTAACGTTTGGTCCAAATGGTCAAAATTATAGCTTTTAATTTTATAAGCCCCAAAGTACGAGACACGACCAGTTAGCATCCGTGCGAGAAAACAATGACAAACACAAAATAGGAACACTTGTTTTTTCCAGCCACAAATAATAATGGAGAGTTATATATGTATGAGAAACAGTAATAATAAGAGAATAATCAGCATTAAGTTCAAAACTTCCAGGAAAGCTATTTTGGATTAGATAATGTTTTACTTCAGAATATGCAAGTTTAAAAGTCAAATTGTCAAAGTTATCCTCCTCGCCACACACCAAAGATTTATATACAGGCTGGAATCCAGAAATTAAGGTTCAAAGTATAAATATTGATAATTGTGGCTAAATTCAGAATGGTTTCAGAAAGATGATACAATTTCAAATAGAAACTGAAAGAAATTTTGCTTTGTGATCTACATAGATTACTATAATTTTTTCTCTTCAGGATCCTTTTCTTTCTCTTGAGGAGTCAGCTAAATCTCAAATTATTTTGATTACAAGAAGTTTTTAGATGGGATCAGCAAATTTAGGAGGAAGTCAGAGCAGAGTGAATACATATGGATATAGGTATGTGCCTATATGTGGACGTATATATATACACGTATACCTTCTTCCATCTGCAATGCAGAGGGAAGAACCCCCCACAAAGACCTCCCTGTGGCCCCCCTCAGTTCTCAGATGACTTGAGCGATTCACCAACTGTAACAGAGTAACTGACCTCTTCCCCATTAAAACTTTTCCCGGGAAGAAGTTTCTGCCACTCCTAACGCGGAGACTTGGCCCATGTCCTTTGCCGGGAAAGCAAGAGCCCACGACAACTTTTCACAAGAGCCAAAATCTGGAAGGAAGTAGAAGACTCGGGGTAATGGGTAAGGACCAAGACTGCAGAGAAGCGTATTTGAGGCGACTGCTCAGGACGACTTCGGTTCTGTATTGTTTATTACAGTCCAAATCCATGAAGTTCTTAGGAAATCAGATCAGATGGTACAGATAAAAACGGGCCACGAAAGCCCGGTCGGAGGTGTTTTCGGGCCAAATTGCAGACCACCCAACAGTTCACATTTTAGGAATTTGAAATGTCTAAAAATAGATAAGGTGGTTTCTCAACA